AATTAATTTTAAAGAAATTTTATTAAGTTTATGAAGATATATGTTTAGTATTGGATATAAAAAATTATATAGGATATAATTATTATATATTATTGTTATTAAGGCTCATTTTATTTTCTATTATCGAATAAAAGTTATTTCAATTGAAAAAATTATAAGTACATATAGTAATACATATTAAGAAACTACTTACTGTAACATAGCTTTAGTTTTTATGGCAGGATCATCAGGTCTGAAATGTTTATATTGTTCTACATCTTTTTCCAATGTAAGCAATTGTTTTTGTAATCTATCTCTTAATGCTGGTAAAGTATCTCTGATATGATTTGTTAATTGTTGATTTAATACACGTTGTAAATATGGTGTTCCTAATCTGTCTGCTAGATGTCGATAAGATGGATGGCTAATGTATAAAGAAATATTTTAAATATTTTATTAAATAATTTATTAATGCAATTATTCTTTATTATTGATCTATACCTTAAGAAAAATTTTCTTTCTGCTGCCAGAGCATTTTTTATATCTTTTCGACCTTCTATATCTTTTTGACTCCTGTTAACAACACCTATATATCCACGTCTCAAAGGTAATAATTTGTTTTCTAAAATATCTCTTGCATCAGTACCATCATCCATAAGATCTAACTTTGTAATAACACCAATTGTACGTACACCTTAAAAAAATTAAAAATATAAGAAAAATTCATTGAATTTGTTAATATTAAATATCAAATTTAATTAAACAAATACCTTGAGGATCTACTTCTTTAGCAAGTTTAAGAGCATCACTATTTGCTAAATCAGTATTTGCTGGTGTTACCGCTAATATAAGACAGTTTTCTCTTTTGATAAACTGAAATATCATAGCTTTAATCTGAGCTTCTATATCTACTGGTTGATCTCCAATTGGTACTTTTGTGAGGCCAGGTAAATCAATTAATGTTAAATTCAAAACTAACAGAAATAAATATATTTTAATTAAGATATTAATATAAATCTATGTAAAATATAATAAAATATTATAATTACCATTAGGTGAATATACTCTTAAATTTATTGGTATGTTAGAAATACCCTTATTACTGCCTGTAACTCTGTCTGTTTCTGCTTCGATTTCCTTCCGTACTTCATCAAAATCCACAAACTTTTTACCTTTACAATGTAAAAATTCAGCATATTCTATAATAAAAAATAATTTATATTGTATGGTAATATTATATTTTTTTGACATGTAAAATTCTAAATAATTAAAATATTCTTGATTTCCTATTTATCAAAAGTTCATTGTTACAGGAAATGTGATAATTCTATAGACAACACTTATAGATAAGTAACATTAAACTTCAAAACATGTGAAATTATTAAAACTTATATTAAAATTTAATATTTCTTAGAAGAAAGACAATATGATATAAATGATTAAAACAGTAACAAATATTATTATACAATTTAACATTCTTTAATTATCTTCAATTTTATGTTTAATAAAATCAATAATTAGAAATAATTGTTATTCATAAATTTCCATGTTATATATATTACATTTATATGTATATTTCTTATACATATGTATTTCTTTATATTTAAATATATATTTTATTCAATATAAATTTTATAATCTATTTATCTATGATGACTCACCAGTTGTACTGTTAATCAATTGTAAGATAAGTGGTCGTCTGGTTACAATACCAGATCCTCTAGGTAAGAAATCCCTGAAAACAAAAAAATATTGTATTTTTCTAAAAAGAAAAATATATATATATAAATAATATCTAATATTATAGAATACTAAAAAATATATCATATAATAATATAAATTTATATAAAGAAATATAGTAAAAAAGAAAAAATTTTAACAATAAAATGAATATTTCTCATTTTTTAATATTAAAATTTGAAATATAAAAAAATTGATATATGTTGTAATTATATTACACCTTTATATTCAAGTATCATTTATCATTTTTTTATTATATAAATTAATTTTAATTATCTACATTATAATAAAAATTATTCTAAAATAATAAAATTAAATCTAATATATAACATATAAATGATATTTATAAAATTGTATTGAATTAATATCCTTAATATAATATATATATCCTAATATATAATATATATATATATATATATATATATATATATATATATATA